AGAGAGAGAGAGAGAGAGAGAGAGAGAGAGAGAGAGAGAGCGATGTACTAAAACTAATCATTTGTAATCATACCATAGGATAACCGAAAGAGTGATTATGATATGAAATGTATTCACAATTATTTTGAATCTAAACAAATTAAATTGAGAGAAAACTGGTATTACAACCAAAGCCTCGATGCGATCGCATTCAACCCAACGGTGACCGCCGACACGAGTCAACACATATACAACACTCACTTCGATGTCCACTCGGGAGAGGCTGTTGTGTCACATTTTGACGGAGAAATGATAGATAATGGTTGGCAGCGTTGGATACTCGATCTAAACATCACATATATGGCTGAATCCAATTGTCTGAATCGCTATCAATGCCGGACACCGGTGTTTGTCCGACAAATACCACTGGATTTGCGGCATCGGTTGGAGGGTATTGTCGACTACTATGTGGACAGTCAGACATCGGGTCATATGCTGTGGTTTAACATCAATGGACGGCCGATGTATTGCTTTACACCCGTAAACCAAACCCTGTCCGCACAGGTATTATATGAAATACTTAGTCTGAAAATCATTTGTAATTAACAAACATTTTGAATTGTTTTTCAGTGCAAGTCATCAAATGATATGATTCCGTATGAAAAACACTGTTTCCCTGAAGTCATTGTTTCCACCGATTCTATGACACACTTATTGATTATATTTGCAATTCTGTTCATAATTGCTGTCATTGTTTTCGTATCAGTTGTGGTGATGATTATGCGAAGAAGTAGCAGCCAATCGGTTCCCGAGACCTCCAAATCCTCAGCGAGTAATTTAAATATTGACAGCCATTTGTCGTCAATAATCAGAGACACTGTCAAACGATCGCCGACTAAATCCACGATTAAATAGCCCTAAATTTGCACACTTTTCAAAATGAATTTTTCGTGATTTTTGTGTTTCAATGTTTTATTACTTCAAATGTCATTTATTTTAAATTATCTTTAATTTCTAATCTTTATAAACACTGTTTTTATGTTATTTCCATTTTTCACAAAATTATTTTATTAAATCGTCGCTAAAATCCCAAATAAAATATATTTCCTAAACTTTTATTACTTATTCGTTAGAAATATTAAATATTGGATTTAATGCTCGCATATAAGCCGTAAACCATAAATTATAACTGCACTAATTATAACATTGATTGCATACAAAATGTGGACAAAATCTGCGCCAAAAGTCTACCGAAAATATAAAACAAGACAAAACCCTCAAGAAAGCACTTCTGATACACAATCGGGTAATAAGTTTTTGAATGCATTACAAAGTGAAGACCCGAAGGCATTGATGTCTTTGTCGTCACTCAAAGACAAGAGACCAACGGATCTGAAGGTTAAGAGCAATGAAGGATCGGTTGGAAGTCTCGGAACAGATTAAACCAAATCCACGGATTGATTGATTAAAAATTTAATAGAAATAAAACAAAATAACTAAAGTGAATACAATTAGAATGATATTGAATTTAAATTAAATAAATATTAATAATTAAAAACTAATCACAAAATGTAATAAAAATGAGCAAAAAATGAAATAAAAGAAAATGTTTAAAAACTATTTTCTATATAATAATGGTTTGGCCGCAGATTTCTTATCGGCAGTCGAAGTAGTGGTCGTAATCTTGAGATCTATTGGTCTGTTTTCATCCAATGACGACATTTCGGTCAACGACTTGGTCTCCGATATCTTTGATTTATTGTTGGATTCAATGTTCAAATCGTCTCTATTTTCAGATATTGTTTTATATTTTTGAGATTTTGGTTGAGATTTTGGCCGGTTTTTGCATACAATGAATGCTATAATCACTGCTATTATAATCGCAATAACGACCAAAACTATGAGTAAAATCGTGTAATAATTGATGACATCTTTGGGATCAGTTCTCATGTCTTTACATCCAATCCATTGACCGATGGTTTGAGTCAAACAGTTGTCGTCAAACCGAAGAGTCCTGTTATTCACACGACAGACACGATTGCCGGCAAACAAATAGAAATAGTCATTCAATGCAAAGCCGGCCGTCGTTTGTGACAAATAACTCCGGATCTCATCGACGGTCAGCTTATTATCAATGGAAAGCGATTTCAACAAATCTAAAGAACTTCCCACAGAATTATTGTTAACCAAATAAGCTGTGCTGATATAAATTTTGCCACTTATGTTAAATAATTTGCTTTCAATCAAATAATTCGGTTGTTTAACAAGCTTTTGCAGATATATTGACTTAATATATTTATCTAGTATTTTAATCTTGAGATACAGTGTCTTATTATGTGACCATAAATTCCATTCATATCCCGTTTGCCTCTAATTTAATTATATATTCAAGTGATGAGACATTTAATTAATTCAATTCAGACATACTTTTGATAATGAAATTATGATTCCTCTATGTATTATTGGATAAAACACTGTATTTATGGGTCCGTCTCTTAATACTCCATTTGTCCACTCATTCAATGATTGGGATCTGTTATATGTGAAGACTGCAGTTATGGGATCCGTTGTATTGACATTCAATTGATAGACAGTGTTGTCCGCAAACAAAGTGATGACATCGGATCCCAAATCACAGTATTTGTCCACAAATGCCGAATCAATTGTAATGTTTGGATTACACAATGGATTCTGGGATTAAATATTTAATTAAAACATTTATTAAATTTAAGTAATGTTTTAAATGACTGACCGTTGCGTTCACTGCAAACATCACTTGTATTAAAACCACAATTAATCTAAAACTGACATCCATTTTATATTTGCATAACATTTATCACTTGTTTTAATATCTGATTTTGTTTTTATATTAAATTTAAATAAATATAACAATACTTATTTCATATTATACATGATATACTTAATTCACGTTTCACTTGATTGTAAACAATAATGATAAAATGTTAATTTATATAAAATTTTGAAAAACTAAACATTAATTTCATTAATGCTTTTTTGCATTTAATTTAATGCACTTTTGGATTAATGCATTTAGATTGAAAGCATAAATAAAACGACAAAATTGAAACATTAAAATAATAAAATTGTTACAAATATATCCTATAATATAATACATAAATAATTTTGTAAAATTAAATTAATGCTAGAAATCTAAAGACAAAGTGTGACTAAAAATCAAATCAATTATTTTTTAGATCTTTTGTTAATAATTTTTGATGGATTTGTTGATATCGCGGACCCTTTTTTGGACGACAAATCGCTGTCAAAACTTGTGGAACTTTTTGTAGTTTCAGTTGACTTTTGTCTCGCCCATCGGTATAACATCACTACATCTGATCCAAAGAGTATTACGAAAATTATAAACAAAACTGCAAATAAAATCCATAATGCGGTCAAAGAATCGCCGGGAGAAATGACACCGATTGTGGATTCAGTGAAACAGTGCTTTTCAAACGAAGTCATATTCTCTGATGAATTGCACTGAAAACAAAAAAATGGTTTTAAATTAAAGTTTAATTTTATTGAAAATACCTGTAAGGAAAGGCTTTGACCATAAGGTGTGAAGCAATACATGGGCTGTCCATTGATGTTAAACCACAGCATATGACCCGATGTCTGACTGTCCACATAGTAGTCGACAATACCCTCCAACTGTTGCCTCAAGTGATGGGGTATTTGTCGTACAAACACTGGTGTCCGGCATTCGGACAGTTGGTCACACTCTTCTTCCCTCTTATATATCATGTACGAAACAAACTGTGTATTACTTGTGGTACCTGTCAGTGATGTTTGCAATTGGGACACAACAACTTTTCCTGTCTGGGCGTTGAGGTGTGTGTTGTAAATACTTGTCAACACATTGGGAGTGAATGGTATCAATGATTGCAGTCTATAATTAGTGGGGCTTTCGCTATATCCCGACCAAACCATTGCTGCCTCCATATGAGTGGGTTTGTAATACACACGAGTCGCACAATTCATTGTGTGGTCCCTCTTTCGGGTATCCTATGGTATGATTATAATTGGCATTAGTTTTATCACACAATTCTCTCTCTCTCTCTCTCTCTCTCGTTATATAATATAAAGCAATCATAAGTGCAGTGAAATTTTCTTCCATCACAAACAGCAGAGAAATGATTATTATTATTATTATTATTATTATTATGATTGACAGTTAAGGGATGAATCGGTTCAACAGTGGATATATTTGTGGACACAACGAGTGTCTGCTTTTCATTTCTTTGTATACTAAATGTCCACATCTTGTCATTTGAATACATCTTAAGACTTGACTCCAGAATTTTAGTTAAATCTATTGTCCACTTTCTGTACATTTTAATGCCATTATATTTGCCATTCGTTTGTATCAAATCACACATTGATTGGCATTCAATGGCAGATATCATACAAATTATGGCTAAAATTACTCTCATTTTTTATAATAAGTGTT